CTCGCAATTCTTCTACAAGCGGGAATTGCTTTTTAGGAGAAGCGAGACGACTGAAACTAGTATTGTGTTTTAATGAACATTCATTGCTCGCAAAAGGTACATTCGCTTATAGTACTCACTTTATAGACCCACAATCAGTGACAGACTTTAGTAATCAGTGCGTTTTCGTCTTTTGAATGAACGATTTTTTTTTGTTTTAAATTTAAGTAGTACTTATGTAAAACTGAGCACGTCAAAACGACGAGATCTCGGCTTATCAGAGGAAAAAAAATCTCAGCCTTTTCTTAACAAATTTCTAGAATAACCAAAGGAAATCAAGAGTTCCTTTCTCAGAATGATAACCATAATTAAAAATAAATTCTAATGTTTATGTACCTTCATCTACCAGCATAATGAACACTGTCTTGTTCATGATTTTGCTTTGTTTCAAGTTTTAGTGTCTCTGATGGTGGTTTTCGCTTATTGTTATCAGTCAGTTAGTGTGATCAGTTTGTCCAAGTCCCAAAGTGATCACATTAAGCGGCGTCCACTGTATAACAGAAGTAAACACTATGGATTGCTGTACTGCGCATGCTTGGTACTTTTTGTGTGAAGTTTGGAGACTACTATTTGTAATCTAAATATAGACTGCGACGTGACACCTATTTTGATCTTCTTTCTATTTATATAACTTACAAGAAGTTCTTTTTAAATGATCTACAATTTGTCTTTCTTGTCATCAAACTTTTAGTAATTAGTAAAAGTTGTGAATTTTTCTTATCCGACCAATTAAAGAAAAAAAGTAATGCTATTTAGTTTGAAACAATTAACATTACAAAAGCGTGCTATTCCGTCACGCATTAGTATTCAAAATTATGGTGAACTAGTTAAAAGAATAATAAAAAATAGAAACATGAATTATTCAGGAGTGCAAGAATAATTACCAAATAGCTGTTTTACTGATTATACCACAGATATAAGGACATACATAAACAGATGCCGTTGACCTAATTATTTATGCTTTATGAAACAGACTTTGACCTTTAAGCAGCTGTTTACTAAATAAAATGATGCAGTTTTTTGTTAACATTCAATGAAAAAAAATTGTCGAAGGTTATTTTGACGGGACTTTTCTGTAGTCCTTGAGTGCAGCCCAACTAAATCCCGCTTTTCAATTTTCCGATTTTTCCAATTTTTGAGTTGCGATTTTTCTAGATTTCGTTTTAAATATGAAATAATAATAATTAAAAAAAAATACGTTTTCAATTTTACGATTTTAGATGTTATTTGAAATTCTTCAATTGCAGTTTTTCGTCTGGGTTTTTTATTTTTTTTTTATTTCTTACGGTTTTTCCATTTTTGTTCAATTTTTTATTTCTTCAGTTTTGCGATGTGTAATGTTTCAATTTTTGATCTTTTCGAATTTTTGGTCGATTGAAAGTTTTGTTTTTTCAATTTTTCGGTTTTTAAATATTTCAATTTCTCCATTAATCGAGATTTCGATGTTTCGATTTTTTTATTGTTCGATTATTCGATTTCTCAGTTTTACATTACCTTATACCCGGTGACTGAAAAAAAAAAATGAATCAGTCAATTTATTTTGTTCTTGCTATTATCTAGGTATACATTTTGGGCAAAAAACCGAGTATGTTTACTTAATTAATTGGTCCTCTCTTCTGTGTTGAAGAGACAAAATCAATCAAATATCAGTTTCTTTTAATACATATGCATGCATTTAATGCCACCGTTACGTACTTCAATGCCGGCGCTGATATGATATGACGTGCTAATGGTCAAATTCGTTCAAAGCATAAACATAAACAACACTGTTAAAGTTAAACAAGTACTAGGAATTAAGAACACATTGTTTCCAACTGATTATTTGCTTTAAATATATTTCATATTGTCCGCATTTGTTCAGACCGTGCCCGCTTGGAATTTACATCCTCGAGGCGCAGGGATTGAGGGCGTGTTATTTACCCTTCTGAAGCGAGGGAAGTTCTGTGAAAATAACCTTCGACCAATTTTTTTATTATTCACATGATACATGTTATGTTGTCCAACATTTATTGTACTGTTTAATAATATATTTTTGTACAAAAATGATATTTTTTCGCTTTGTTGGGAAGTAACTATTTCTATATTCTTGGTGGTGGTGGTGGTGGTGGTGGTGGTATTATTTATGTTGGTGATGGTTTTATCATAGGAGAGACTCATGATATTCTCAAGAAAGAAGATTTTGCTTTAGCCTTTATGAACTCTGCAATGGAAGACAAACTTCGAAATTTCACGACGATTGTTTGCATGGATGGTACACATGGGACAAACAAAAAAGGACTGGACTTAACAATTATGCTGATTAAAGATGATAGAAATGCAAGATTCCCAGTTGCTTTCTTTTTATCAAATCGTTTAGACCAACAAGTACAAGAAGTGTTTTTAGGTGCTCTTAGGATAAAAATGCAGCAGGATATTAAACCTGAATATTTTATGAGTGATGACGATCCCAAGTATTACAATGCATGGATTAAAGTGATGACAAACAAACCACAAAGACTTTTGTGTTCATGGCACATTGTAAAGAACTGGAATATCCAAGGAAAAAAAATCCATGATGTTACAATGAGAAAACAAATGAAGCAAGAAATGAAAAGAATTTTAAATGAGACTAATGAGAAAAAATTTATTGAACTGAAGGATGCATATCTGAACAAGCTGCAAGAAGCAAATGAGCTGGATTTTGCAAATTATCTTTTAAGGTACTTTTAGTTTTGTAAATATAAGTAATTATCATAATATTATAAATAATAATAGTTTTATATTGACCAAAACATACTTTGTTTTAGGTATTATTTTCAGGATGAAGACAGGATTCGAATGTGGGCCCATTGCTATAGAAAAAATGCTGGAATCAATACCAATATGGCTATAGAGAGTCTTAATAATTTATTGAAGACTAATCAGTTAAAAAGGAGAACAAGAGTAACAATAGAAAAATTACTAGACACAATTGAAGACTTGGTGGACATAAAAATGTGGCAGAGGATTTTAAGTATTGAAAGGCCTAACGCTAACAATTACCAGGACAGAATTATCATTAAAGCACACAAGGAAGCTCACAGAATAAAAAACAAAATAGAAGTAATTGAAAAACAGCTAGGAGGATTCCAAGTTAAGTCTTCAAAAAATGACAATTTTTATAATGTTAATTTAAAACAAATATGTGAGAGTGAATGTAAAACATTATTTTGCAGAGTGTGCAAAATATGTATCCATCGATATCAGTGTGATTGCCCAGAATACATGATAAAAAATTCCATGTGTAAGCATGTGCACTTGGTATGTATGTATGAGGAGCGGAAGGGTACTAATTCTGTTCTAGATGAAGCTGCTGAAGTTCTGGGACAAAACTCGCAAATTAGGATCCATCATCAAGAAGAAATTTCCCAATTTTTAAAAGAAAAAATGACGCAAGAGGAAGTGGATGAAGTGACTGAACCAAATTGGAGAATAGTTACAGAAAAACATTTAACAAACTGGATACACAACTTAAACGATGAAACTTTTGTCAGTTTTTGGAAGGACATACAAGGGATTATGAGAAAAGCAGATGAAAAAAGTAACACAACAACCACTAAGCGAAAAATGGAAAAGCAGGAGTACTTCCCTACAAAAAAACGTAAAAAAGCATAAAGCACTTTTTTCAAAATTGAATATATCCTTTTAGGAATGTAGGCGAACAGAAGTGATTCATAAATGAAGAAATGGAGAAAATATTGACAAATGGTGAAAAGAAGAAATTATGTTAAGAGATATTGTTTAACATTAAATTTGTCGTTCAAATTATTATAGATTTCGTATAAAATGTAATTTAGTAATTTGTTTATGATTCTGTTAATATATTTAGTCTTCTAAATTAAATGAGTAAAATAAAGTTTTTATTTACGAATAGAATATGAGCACCAGCTTGTTATTTCTAAAATTTAAAACCTTAATTGTTAGCAAATAATGAACTAATGATTTATGGTAAGTTTTCATACTGAAAATATTTCGAGATGAACATCAAAAGCACCAAAACGTCAAACTCTTCAATATTTGCAGTATAGCCACTTGACTTTTAGGTAAATAACTAAAAATTGTAAAATCCCCTAGCACGTCCCCGGCTCCTTTTAGTGTAGCCTACGATCTAAACGTCACTAGCCCCCCAAAATATTCGCGTTCCTTTTCTGTTCGGCGTGTTTCTGGATTTTCCGTTTCACTCATGCGCAAGGCATTAGAAACGATGTACGTTACTTTGATGAACAACGTTGTTTTTAATTTGCGATATTTCTTTAACACAAGCTTTTTATATAGTTAAACCTTTAGTAACGGGAACATAATTATACAGTCTTTATCGCTTGTAGCATGAACTAGTTAAGATTTCTACCTGTGCGGTGTATTTTGTCTGTAAAATCAAGCTCCCATAAGAAACCCATAGTAGAATTTTTGAATTATGAACTGCCGCGCATTCTAAATTCTAACCTTACTTTACTGGTCAATTTGGTGAAGATCCAGTGAAGATCACAATAACATGATAGAGTGACAATCAAAACGAAAAGGGCCATCACGTGGGTTGCGCAGTAGAGCAAGTTACGTTGGTCGAGTCTATTCATAGCTCTCAGGGGATGGAAACATAGGGCAGTAGCGCCGTTAATTTGTATTACTTTTGTACTGTCTTTGTATGTCTGGTGTCAGTGTTTTATGTCTCCAATTTTTTTAAGTTATTATTATTTATTTTGTCACTTTGTATTTATTAGGAAGAAGAATAGGGTCCTCAGAGCATTTATTACTTTAATTACATTTTATGATAAATCAGTTACGCCACTGGTAAGAGATAGGCGCGCATCTGAAGCTCCGCCCATGTCACCTTTCGTTCTGCTTGGCACTTTACAAAGACCAAAAAACGAGTTACATAAGGTTGACGAGCATGTCACACTTAAATCTGGCAACCATGCACGACTTCTCTTGAAATCAACAAATCCAACAATTAATCATAGTTTATTTGAACATATATAATTATCAAAATACTTCAGCGATTCTTGAAGGTCGGCGTACTTTGCGTAGACACAAGCCTCCTCCAGATTCAGCCACTTAAAATCCTGATGTTCGTCTGACAATATCACCTCAGCCTTTGGATTGACAAGCTCCGCCAACCAATAAGTCACAACCTTTGGAACTCCTTTGACTTTGTAATTTAGAACCCTCTTCACGTCGTTGTAGATTTTCAAGTCGTCTTTTTTGAGCCCCGACTCCTCGACGGTTTCCCGAAGGGCTGTCACCATTTCGGTCTCGCCGGGATCAACATGACCTGCACAAACCAGGAGTCGCAATTGACCAAAAAAGCACAAAATTTACCTTTCGGAGGGGTCCAGTGGTGCTCCCCGTACGAAGTTTGTAACAACAAATAGAGAACATTGGGAGGAGCGCGCTTGAAAATCACAAAACCGGCAGCGCTTTTCATCTTTTGTTGTACTTATTAACCAACAATTAGAACGGAAATTGAGGTTATGTTCACCGGCACCAACTATTATTTATTAGTGTTTACACTTATATATCCCGTTAAAAACGCGCAAAATCGCGTTATGTAGATATAAAACCACCGTTCGAACTCCTTATCACCGCAGTTCAAGGATAATAAAAAATAAAACATGAAATGTCATAAATGTGAGGTTATGTTAAAAATTAAAAACCTAAATGCCGCTGCATTACTACACGGCCCCAAATGCCTTATGCAGGGCCTTCGCTTCGGCTGCAGAAATCGGATTTAACGTGAAGCCCTCCAATCTCGGCTCATGTTCCAAGTCCCTCAGTTTATGCAATTTGCTCTTGATACTTTTATCCAGTCCTTCGATGTCTTTATCGGCGTTTGCTATTTCTGCAACGACAAACTTTGACAAGTGTCAGTAACCTAACCTGCATTACCGTTCAACAAAATTCGTTTACACTCTTCAGTGGGGCGCTCCACGAACACCGAGCCCATTTGCATCCACGTCCGGCGATCTTCCACCCCTTGAAGCGCCCTAAACGCCTCCCTGAACTTGTTTCTCGAGTTGCTTAAATCCAACTTGGTTTCCTTGTCTGTGAGAATATCCTGGGCTAGAGTTTCCACTTCGTACAAATACTGGAAAGATTTCTGATTTTGCACGTCTTGCATTCTCACCTCCTGTTTGAATTATTTCGAATTATTACATATTGCGCAAGTGTGACTGTAACCACTTCCATAGTCAAAAGTGAGGTTAGGTTTAGTTGTTTTCGCATCGTCATTTGAATCAGTGATCAAACAGCACCCCGATGGCTTTAGCAGAAATTTGTGGCTTGTCGGATTTCGACTCGTTCAAACGGGAAGCCCCCTTTCAGAATGAAATCGTCAGAATGAGCAACAATTTCACAAACAATACGCAACTGAGTGTGCCCCCTTACCCCAACGTAAGTAACTTACTAGTTGATTCAAAAACTTGACCCTTTGTTGCAGCCGGCCGACAACTTAGCCCACTTTTCGAAGGACGAAAAAGGCAGCGACATCAAAATCAAGTTCGACCATGGTACCACAACTTTGGGTTTTATGTATCAAGGGGGCGTAGTTCTAGCCGTGGACTCTCGAGCCACTGGTGGGCAGTTCATTGGGTCCCAAACAATGAAAAAAATTGTGGAAATTAATGACTTCCTTTTGGGTAATGAGTTTAATGAATGTGGGTTTGTTTTGATTGGGGGTTTTAGGCACTTTGGCTGGAGGCGCCGCTGATTGCGTGTACTGGGACCGCGTCCTGGCTAAGCAGTGTCGGATGTACGAGCTGCGCAACCGAGAGCGGATTTCTGTAGCTGCAGCTTCCAAACTTATGGCAAACATGGTTTATAATTACAAAGGGATGGGTTTGTCCATGGGGATGATGTTAGCTGGATGGGACAAAAGAGTAAGTTGTGGGTGTGATGATTTCACGTGATTGGTTGTGTTAGGGCCCCCAGTTGTACTACGTGGATTCGGAAGGGACAAGGACCCCTGGAAAAGTGTTCAGTGTGGGTTCTGGCTCCATTTACGCGTTTGGTGTCCTGGATTCTGGGTACAAGTGGGATTTGAAGGATGATGAGGCGTACGATTTGGGGCGCCGGGCTATTTACCATGCCACCCACCGAGACGCCTACTCTGGAGGGATTGTCAGAGTTTATCACATGAAGTCGACTGGATGGGTCCACATTGACAACAACGACTGCATGGATCTTCACTACAAGTACGAAGAAGAGAAGGCGAAAGAAATCAATAAAGTCTAGGTTTGTTAATTAAAGGAATTAAATTACTTTTTTCAAGTTTGTGGTGTTTTTATTAAAACTCGTAGTATGAGTAGTGAGCTGTGAATAAGTGTCATTTGAGTGACAAGTAAAAGAGTCAAGGCGGCTGTGACAATGGCTGCCACCATGACAAGTCAAATGTCTTTCAGTTTAATCCTGACCCCCATTTATCCTTTTTGTGTTTATTTAATTTAAAATAGCCCCAGGGTGAGTCTTCGATGAATATTTGCTACTGACTACTGAACTAAGGGATGCGTTTTTTTTTTAATTTTGCGCGCTCCGCCCGTGTGAGGTTCCTTTTATATGCTTGCCAAGCGGCTCGGTGCGCCTGTCCACGGGATGGCAGTGACGACAAAAGAAGGGGCTGGTTGGGAGTGGGTTCACCACAATCAGTGACTTTGACAGATGCCAGCATGGATCTAGGACCTCTGACTTCAGAGCCAACTTGGCAAGACATCCAGACTTTCTACAATAACAATGGCTCTAGTTTGGTGATTAAGGACCTCTTCGAGCAGGACTCGAGCCGGTTTAGCAAATTCAGGTGAGTTTTCGTGCGTTTTCATTTAGAACTTGCGCGGAAAACGCGAAAACCGGCTGACCTCTAAGTCACCTTGTGCTATCATTCGTGTTTTGTGCGAGCCCGGGGGCACCGCGGCTTTGTTGTGATTGCGGCTATAAAAACGTTAATCCCGGATGTTTCTAATTTATTGGGTTGGAGTTACGTGATCGCAAATTGTTTGTTTTAGCTTGAAATTGAGCACGCCCAACGATGGAGACATTCTTATTGATTATTCGAAGAACAGGATTAATGACGAGGTGCTCAAGAAGTTGCTCGCTTTGGCGAAGGCGCGCAAGGTGGAGGAAGCCCGCGATGCGATGTTTTCAGGGGCGAAGATAAATTTTACGGAGAATAGGGCTGTGCTTCACACCGCTTTGCGAAACAGGGAAAACAGGAAGATTCTGGTTGACGGGAAAGATGTGTCGGGGGATGTTAATGCGGTGCTCGAGCACATGAAGCAGTTCACCAACGAGGTGCTGAGCGGGAAGTGGAAGGGGTAAGAACGATGTTTTGATCATTCTTGCTGTGATACAATAAGGTGTGATGTAGGATTGTGCCTTGAGCTGCACCAAAAGTTATTTTTTGGAATAGGGTCCATTTCGGGGTTGAATAACTTTGTGAATCTTGAATTTGCCGCGAGTCTAAATTCTGGATATTTTTTAGAATGTGAAAAATTGGCACAGATATTTACAAACGTGCTATAACTGACAATGTCACCTTATTCTAATGATTCATTTGACATTGCGTACTTCGTTAAGTATTAAAAAAAAAAACAAATCAATTTTGTCATTATTTGGCATTGACATCTTTGTCATTTTTTTCCTATGATTGCGTATTAAAAAAAAAAATAAATTGTACGAAGTCGTTTTTGGGGTGTATAATATCATAATATGTTGCCTATGCAAACATTGTCAGGTGTGAACAGATAAAATGAACACCCTGTATAGTACTTGTAATTTAAGACAAATAGGCATAACACTGATATTAAATTGTAGACGTGACGGTTTTAAATTTTACGACTTTTTATTTTTCAGTTTCTCGATTTTTCAGTTATTCGATTCAATTTTATGATTTTTCATTCTTAAATTTTGGATTTTTCGACTTATCGATTTTTCGATATTACCTTTTCTTCAATTTTTCAATTTTTGAATTTTAGATTTTTCAATTTTTTGATTTCCCAATTTTTCGACATTTATTTGTTGTTTTGAAATTTTGAATTTTGCGATTTCTCAATTTATTGTTTTTAAAATTTTTTGATGTTTCGATTACCCAATTTTTCATTTGTTAATATTTCAGTTTTTTGATTTTTCGTTTTCTCGACATCTAGGTTTTTCAATTTTTCGATTTCCCGATTTTTAAAGTGTTTTTCAACATTTCAATTTTGGAAAATTTTCATTTTCTGGATTTGCCAGTTTTTTGATATTTTATTTTTAAACTCTGATATTTCAGATTCGATTTCTCGGTTTTGAATTTTTCAAATTTCCAGTTTTTCAGTTTCTCGATTTTTCAGTTACTCGATTCTCCAATTTTCTGATTTTTCATTCTTAAATTTTGGATTTTTCGATTTTTCGCTATTTCAGTTCTTCAATTTTTCAATTTTTCGAATTTTTAAGTTTTAGACTTTTCAATTTTTTGATGTTTCGATTACCCAACAGTTTTTTGATTTTTCGTTTTCTCGACGTCTAGGTTTTTCAATTTTTCGATTTCCCGATTTTTAAAGTGTTTTTCAACATTTCAATTTTGGAAAATTTTCATTTTCTGGATTTGCCAGTTTTTCGATATTTTATTTTTAAATTCTTTTATGTTTCAGATTCGATTTCTCGGTTTTGAATTTTTCAAATTTTCAGTTTTTTAGTTCCTCGATTTTTCAGTTACTCGATTCTCCAATTTTCTGATTTTTCATTCTTAAATTTTGGATTTTTCGATTTCTCGCTACTTCAGTTCTTCAATTTTTCAATTTTTCGAATTTTTAAGTTTTAGATTTTTCAATTTTTTGATGGTTCGATTACCCAAGTTTTCATTTGTTAATATTTCAGTTTTTTGATTTTTCGTTTTCTCGACGTCTAGGTTTTTCAATTTTTCGATTTCCCGATTTTTAAAGTGTTTTTCAACATTTCAATTTTGGAAAATTTTCATTTTCTGGATTTTCCAGTTTTTCGATATTTTATTTTTAAACTTTTTGATGTTTCAGATTCGGTTTGTCGGTTTTGAATTTTCAAATTTTCAGTTTTTCAGTTTCTCTATTTTTCAGTTATTCGATTCAATTTTCTGATTTTTCATTCTTAAATTTTGAATTTTTCGACTTCTCGATTTTTCGGTATTAGCTTTTCTTCAATTTTTCAATTTTTGAATTTTTCAATTTTTTGATTTCCCAATTTTTCGACATTTATTCGTTGTTTTAAAATTTTGATTTTTGCGATTTCTCAATTTATTGTTTTTTAAAATTTTTTTATGTTTCGATTACCCAGTTTTTCATTTGTTAAGATTTCAGTTTTTTGATTTTTCGTTTTCTCGACATCTAGATTTTTCAATTTTTCGATTTCCCGATTTTTAAAGTGTTTTTAACATTTCAATTTCGGAAAATTTTCATTTTCTGGATTTGCCAGTTTTTCGATATTTTATTTTTAAACTCTTTGATGTTTCAGATTCGATTGCTCGGTTTTGAATTTTTCAAATTTTCAGTTTTTCAGTTTCTCGATTTTTCAGTTACTCGATTCTTCAATTTTCTGATTTTTCATTCTTAAATTTTGGATTTTTCGATTTCTCGCCATTTCAATTCTTCAATTTTTCAATTTTTCGAATATTTAAGTTTTAGATTTTTCAATATTTTGATGTTTCGATTACCCAACAGTTTTTTGATTTTTCGTTTTCTCGACATCTAGATTTTTCAATTTTTCGATTTCCCGATTTTTAAAGTGTTTTTCAACATTTCAATTTTGGAAAATTTCCATTTTCTGGATTTGCCAGTTTTTCGATATTTTATTTTTAAATTCTTTTATGTTTCAGATTCGATTTCTCGGTTTTGAATTTTTCAAATTTTCAGTTTTTTAGTTCCTCGATTTTTCAGTTACTCGATTCTCCAATTTTCTGATTTTTCATTCTTAAATTTTGGATTTTTCGATTTCTCGCTACTTCAGTTCTTCAATTTTTCAATTTTTCGAATTTTTAAGTTTTAGATTTTTCAATTTTTTGATGTTTCAATTACCAAATTTTTCATTTGTTAATATTTCACTTTTTTGATTTTTCGTTTTCTCGACATCTGGGTTTTTCGATTTTTCGATTTCCCGATTTTTAAAGTGATTTTCAACATTTCAATTTTGGAAAATTTTCATTTTCTGGATTTGCCAGTTTTTCGATATTTTATTTTTAAACTCTTTGATGTTTCAGATTCGATTTCTCGGTGTTGAATTTTTCAAATTTTCAGTTTTTCAGTTTCTCGATTTTTCAGTTACTCAATTCTCCAATTTTCTGATTTTTCATTTTTAAATTTTGGATTTTTCGATTTCTCGCTATTTCAGTTCTTCAATTTTTCGAATTTTTAAGTTTTAGATTTTTCAATTTTTTTATGTTTCGATTACCCAACAGTTTTTTGATTTATCGTTTTCTCGACATCTAGGTTTTTCAATTTTTCGATTTCCCGATTTTTAAAGTGTTTTTCAACATTTCAATTTTGGAAAATTTTCATTTTCTAGATTTGCCAGTTTTTCGATATTTTTATTTTTAAATTCTTTGATATTTCAGATTGGATTTCTCGGTTTTGAATTTTTCAAATTTTCAGTTTTTTAGTTCCTCGATTTTTCAGTTACTCGATTCTCCAATTTTCTGATGTTTCATTCTTAAATTTCGGATTTTTCGATTTCTCGCTAATTCAGTTCTTCAATTTTTCAATTTTTCGAATTTTTAAGTTTTAGATTTTTCAATTTTTTGATGTTTCGATTACCCAACAGTTTTTTGATTTTTCGTTTTCTCGACGTCTAGGTTTTTCAATTTTTTGATTTCCCGATTTTTAAAGTGTTTTTCAACATTTCAATTTTGGAAAATTTTCATTTTCTGGATTTGCCAGTTTTTCGATATTTTATTTTTAAACTCTGATGTTTCAGATTCGATTTCTCGGTTTTGACTTTTTCAAATTTTCAGTTTTTCAGTTTCTCGATTTTTCAGTTACTCGATTCTCCAATTTTCTGATTTTTCAGTCTTAAATTTTGGATTTTTCGATTTCTCGCTAATTCAGTTCTTCAATTTTTCAATTTTTCGAATTTTTAAGTTTTAGATTTTTCAATTTTTTGATGTTTCGATTACCCAACAGTTTTTTGATTTTTCGTTTTCTCGACGTCTAGGTTTTTCAATTTTTTGATTTCCCGATTTTCAAAGTGTTTTTCAACATTTCAATTTTGGAAAATTTTCATTTTCTGGATTTGCCAGTTTTTCGATATTTTATTTTTAAACTCGGATGTTTCAGATTCGATTTCTCGGTTTTGAATTTTTCCAATTTTCAGTTTTTCAGTTTCTCGATTTTTCAGTTACTCGATTCTCCAATTTTCTGATTTATCATTCTTAAATTTTTGATTTTTCGATTTCTCGCTATTTCAGTTCAATTTTTCAATTTTTCGAATTTTTAAGTTTCAGATTTTTCAATTTTTTGATGTTTTGATTACCCAACAGTTTTTTGATTTTTCGTTTTCTCGACATCTAGGTTTTTCAATTTTTCGCTTTCCTGATTTTTAAAGTGTTTTTCAACATTTCAATTTTGGAAAATTTTCATTTTCTGGATTTGCCAGTTTTTCGATATTTTATTTTTAAACTCTGATGTTTCAGATTCGATTTCTCGGTTTTGAATTTTTCAATTTTTCAGTTTTTCAGTTTCTCGATTTTTCAGTTACTCGATTCTCCAATTTTCTGAGTTTTCATTCTTAAATTTCGGATTTTTCGATTTCTCGCTATTTCAGTTCTTCAATTTTTCGAATTTTTAAGTTTTAGATTTTTCAATTTTTTGATGTTTCGATTACCCAACAGTTTTTTGATTTTTCGTTTTTTCGACATCTAGATTTTTCAATTTTTCGATTTCCCGATTTTTAAAGTGTTTTTCAACATTTCAGTTTTGGAAAATTTTCATTTTCTGGATTTGCCAGTTTTTCGATATTTTATTTTTAAATTCTTTGATGTTTCAGATTCGATTTCTCGGTTTTGAATTTTTCAATTTTTCAGTTTTTCAATTTCTCGATTTTTCAGTTACTCGATTCTCCAATTTCCTGATTTTTCATTCTTAAATTTTGGATTTTTCGATTTCTCGCTATTTCAGTTCTTCAATTTTTCAATTTCTCGAATTTTGAAGTTTTAGATTTTTCAATTTTTTGATGTTTCGATTACCCAATTTTTCATTTGTTAATATTTCAGTTTTTTGATTTTCCGTTTTCTCGACATCTAGGTTTTTCAATTTTTCGATTTCCCGATTTTCAAAGTGTTTTTCAACATTTCAATTTTGGAAAATTTTCATTT